TGTAAGTCCTACAATTCTTCAAAGGGTAGCGCATCAATGAGCAGTCCAATGTGCTTGGTGTGTGATTTTGTACATATGTTCATATTGTATATACTGAATTGATATCATCTGTCATCTAGCTGTTGGTAATTCTGTTTGTGTCCGGACGACTTCCACTTGGATCATCAACCTGAGAAGGAATGTAGGCGTACTGCTGTAAGTCCTACAGTTCTTCAAGGGTAGTTTGTCATGCCGGAATCCACATTATTTGATGTAGTGATTGTACATATGTTTGTGTTAAATAATTGTGTGAGTTCCAATTGATGTAATTGTTGGTTAATCTTGTTTGTGTCTGGACATTCCACAACTTACAATCGTCAACCTGTGAAGGTTTGTAGGCGTACTGGTGTAAGTCCTGCAATTCTTCAAGGGTATTCCATCAAGACATGATCGGCGAGTTTGTGTGTACTATTTGTATATACGTGTGGTGTGTCATATCAATTGGTGTATTTGGATTCATTGTGTTTACTTGTTGTTTTCGTATCTTGTTGTTATTGCGTAATTTTGTTAAAATTTTCGTCGTGATTACTTCTGAAGTTGTTTCGAGTCTTCTACATCCATGAATGAATTGATTGATGTTAAGGACAGCAGATGGGTCGTATACGCCGGGGAGGCTAGGCTATTGCTGAGAATGAAATGCACACGGAGATAATTGTTAGCTGCGGTCCGACACGCCGGGGAGAAAGAGTGTAAACGACTGAGGCTCGCATGCGTCACCGCTACTAGAACTGAGGCAGAATGAGTGACAAGCGATTTCAGTGGTAATTGGTAGTGAGTAGATAAGAGGATGTGCGTAGAGTATCATGAGTTGGTGCTATGGTCACGTTGCATTCTGCAAGAGTCATTCTAGTAAGTGGCGATTGTGTTGCAAGATGTCAAGAGGAGGTCTCTGTCTGGAGGCGCAGGTCGTCATTGATGTGTGAGATTGTGCTGTGAGTATGCTTGTGGTGTGTTGGCTTTTCTGTTTGTTTTCCATTTCAGCTCTGTCCGTGTGACCCAGGTTCTCGCAATGGCATCCAAGTCAACGTGCATTGGTCGTGAAGGAAAAAAGGGTTGGATCCCATTTTTGCCGGGGAGTGTCAATGGAGTTGAAGATTGAACGATCAATTCTTGGTTGTTTGCTCAAAATCAACTTCCCCAATTTTCGCGGAGGCATCAATACGACAGTCATCGTCTCATCGGTCGCTGTTCAGAAAGAAGAGTGAAACATCGTCAGAAGTAATACAGAGATTTATTATTGTAATATTTGTTTTCAGACCTTAGTTCGCTTATTCCTTTTATATGTTGGTGTAACAATACAGAAATATCAAACGGCAGATCGGTGTTTTGGTTTTTGCGTCCGTTATAACTAAGCGTTTCTGAGAAATCTTCGAAGAACAGCGTGGGCCCGAGTGTAGCGAGAGCTGGGCATTAACGGTTTATGAGACGTGGTTGACACCATACCTTCTGCAACTGCATTTGCCTTTAATTATGCTTCACGTTCAAGTTGTACAGAACCTTTGTTCAACTCAGTAGAAGTAGGCATTCCGCTCATCTCATCATGATCAGCCATAGACAAAACTGCACTATCATGATCATTATCAGAAATATTCAGTTTACCGTCGTCTATCTGGTCGACTTCATCATTTTCGAACTCTTTAATAACAGCAGTAGATGACGTGCATTCTTCCTCATGAATCCTTAAAGGTTTTATACCTTTACTCTGACTAGTAATACCTTGTAAACTTGTGGAGTCAGAACTGGACTGTGAAACTGTAACTCTCTTCTTCTGCACAAACTGCGGTGTCGTCTGTGATACTCTATTCAACAATTGCTTACCGGTTGCAACTACAGGCCTCTTCACTGCACTATTATCGTCACACAATTCGTAGTCAGACCTTGATGACGCTGATTTCACATTTGGCTTACTACTAATCTTGGTCACTTCTTCACAGTTCGCCTTTGTATGAACTTCTTGCAAATGCGTAAGGCACAACCGTGTTTGTCTCGCAGCTTGTAACCTGTCTGTTGGGGATGTCCCAAGAAAGCTGTTACACTCACAAAGTTTATATGGATACTAGACACCATATAGCTTTCTCGATATCCGCCTCTCTGAGACCCTTTCGTCATAAATGAGTACTCCTTTCTCTAGGGGTGAAATGCAATATACTGACGAACTTGCTCATAGATTGATTGACACTTTCTTTTGCCAGTTTCGGAATATCACCAAACTTGGCCCAATACCTTCATCCTCTATACGAGAGCTTATCTTCGCCCACTTCCTTTGCAGTCGAGTAGGTAGGCGTCTCGGTGTTACCTCTATGACGGAACTTGAGTTCAGATCGCTCAACAATTCATCGAAATCAACGTATTCCTGTAAGTCATCAGATTATCCAAAAACTCAGAGAGTTTCTTGCAATTCTCTTGTAATGGACTACCACTACCTTTAACAGCCTCGAATAATTTCCTTAAAATCACCGAAGTTGTTCCAAATGTTTGACGCAGTATACTAATATCCTCAGGGTATCCTTCGTTTGGTAGCATAACCTTGCAACACTGTATAGCTCTTGCGGCAACTCCAGTGCGGTACCTCAACAAATACACCAACTTCATTTCATCATTTCATGTAAAACCACTCAACATGTTCTCATACTCTGATAAACTGTTGGTAGTCAGTGGGGTCTCCATCAAATTTCCGAGGTTCAAACTTAGGGAGCTTCAAAGCACTACTATCCTTTAACGGCGAAGCGTGAACACCAGACTTATCATGCTGAGCGCCGTGCATATCATTACAATTAACAGGCACCTCATCGTTACTTACTTTTTGTCTGCTTCCACAGTGCCACGTCCCTTTCTTGGCCCAGGCATTATCCAACGTCACCAAAGGATCCAAATTGCGTTGATAATCTATGTACAAATAGATGGTGGTCACATAACCAGTAAGTATACCCGGAAGAGTTCCAGAAGGCGCTCCAGAAAACGAATAGATGAATAGAAACTGCCCCAGATGGAACTCCAGGGAAGGAAGAAACGAACAAATTCTTCCCCAGAAGGCGATTCGAAAAATGAGTAAAAACTATCAAGGAACTTGTCCCTAAGTTCCTATTGTTACGAAGACGCTCCGTACCTATGTACTAAACTATGTAAACTATGTACTTTCTTCGACTTAAACTCCAAAACACCAGTATTGTAAGAAGGAAGTTATATTGTTTGGCAATTTAAGCGGAGAACAGAAAAAGTCTATAAAAATATTTTATATAAAATTTTGAAGTACTTCTATTCGTTTTTGGTTGTCCTCGTTGAACTTGTACACGATCGAACCATTCGCGCCTTTGAGTTGCCCAACAATGGCTACCAGTTCCGAAAACAAACGTTCAATGTTCACGTCCATTGACAAATGGTCATAATTCATTCAGTCTACTCAACAATGCAAAACTTTTTACTGACATTAACAATAAAACATACTTCAAACTGAATAATGTTTATTCAGAACAAACTATGCGGTGTGAGAACAAAGGTCTTCCGTCTCAGAGTATGACAAAAACATTTTGCAGGTGTATAAAAGACAGGCGAAACCCCTTTTAATCTGCCAAATGTAACATGTAAATTGATCATATTATTCCTTTTTGCACGTAACACAAAATCACGTAGGACCGTGTGTAGGCGGTTTGCCTAGGAAAATTCAAACTGTAATCTATCACCCTGTTCAATCCTATGAAGGAATAGTTGCACTGGATGAGGTATATTTTTTGATGTTGCGTTTGCACTCACTCGGACCTGGCATTCCCTTGGGTCGATTTCAGTGAAACCGAAGATGAATTGAGGTTTTAGCGTTTTAAAATAATGTTTTTATTTCATAATAATAATGATAATAGCTTTATTCCAAAACATTACCTGCGATACATAATGGAATTCTCAGCATTTTATTTTATTATTATTTTATTTTATATTACTCATAGTTAGTCTTTGAGTTAGCAGTCTTTGAATACAGTGTATCAACTGCATTGTCAACCAAATTGCCGGGGTAGATTTTCAGAAACCTGCTGAACGATCACACAAGGATCTCGTTAAACTGACTGGAAACTTGAAAAACAGTGGCATAGAATCTATGTAATGTTCTTTTTATCGTAGTTACATTAGTCCGATGTAACGACTAACTGTATCACAGTTTTCTGCGACGGTTACTCTTGAAACGGTCTGATGGCTTTCCCACTTACCCTTGTGTATTCAATATTTTGTTTTCACTGTTAGGTTAGCTGCTGCATTAATCTTTTTTCTTCAACCAAAATGAGTGCATTGCAGATCACAGGCACGTTGTGGCATGTACTACCAATAAGATTTATCAGTAGTATATAAAGAGACGTTCATCAGCGATAAAAGCATCAAGCACCAAGGAGGTAAATTTGTTGTCAGAGAAAACAAATGAAGAACATTGTTGCGGAGATACATGGGAGACAAGGTGAAAAGAAAACACAAAGAAACACAATATGAAGCAAGGCTAAAAGTAGCGAGCACAACACGGAAGTCCTGTGCAAATGGTGCGTTGAAGATAAGGTGTACATAATTTTGTTATATAGAGATACCTAACTGGAAATAAACATTCATTTACCAAGCCTCTCATCTTCTATCTATCGTTGTCCTTTCTTTAAAACTGCCATAGAATCCTGCAATTTCTTACATAGGCAGGTGACAGGCCTGATATCTCACGAATACTCAAATCAAAAGAAGGGGTAAATAAATTCGTCTGGTTTATGCTAGGTTATGGAAATTTTGTTGGACATTGGATCTGTCATGCAAGGCGAAAGTAGAAGAGAAAGAAACATCGTGATCCATCAAATAAAGTGAAAGAAGAATTAAGAAAAAGAATTGAACTGTTGCACCTCAGTTTCTGACGTTATCATTATTAATTTTGTATAGTGAATAGTTTGCATTTGTTTTGATTAATCCACGACTAGGAGGTTTGTTTAGGGTTGCTCTAGGTCATGTTCGTGGTTTTCGTCCTTACTGTATTTGTTGTATTTGCCTCAGGTATGCTATTTCTAACTCAATGCAGTACATTTTTCAGAGTCCACTGCTCAACAGGGCACTGTAACATGCGGCTCGGTGCTTAAGCTGATGAACACAGATTACAATGTACGACTTCATTCACACGAAGTGCAGTATGGTACTGGAAGTGGCCAACAGTCTGTGACTGCTGTGTCTGACGATTTGGATACCAATAGCTTATGGCAGGTCTGTTTTTCCAGAATGTTTTGCTACTTTTATGGCACTCGTATGTGGTACTTTTCTCTGTATTACGGAGTCTAACATTCGAGTGACCTAGCTTACTATAATTCTGAATTATATCTCACTAATTCTGAACTAATTCTAACATTCTATAGTGAGTAAATTCCGAATCTGTTCTGGAATGGATTCTTTAATGGCACAGATTTGAACCCAGTGCTGGTTTTCAACATGACTGACACTGATTCATCACCATGTTCTATTATTATTATTATTACTATTATTATTATTACTATTATTATTATTATTACTATCTCTTTTCTCTTGTCGACAATACCGAAGGACTAACTGGCGAAAGGATCAACTCCAATCACAGTAGTAACAGTCTTAACATACCTCATACTACAAACCACATATAATTAATCCCAGCACTACTCCCTTTGGAGTCAACCAAAGCTACGACAGTCGAGTGGCGGGACAAGCTACGCAGAAGTTTACCGAAGATCAAGAACCTATACCTCACAATCAAGAAGCGAGCACAAAGAAATCAAATTGGTTTATACTAGCTCGTAAAAACGATATTGGATATTGGATGTTCTTTTTCTAGGCATTTTCAGGAGTAGATCAGAACCTACTGGGCTTGCTTATCAGCGTTTTCCCAGCCCTCACAGGACATATTAAGCACGGACCAACGTTGCTTCAGAACCAAAAGGCTTAATTCAGCACCCAGCTCTCTTTCTAAACACGACCAACGTTACTTCAGCACATGGTGGGTAGATGAAATCTTCATTGACGATGAAAAGGCATTACCAAAGATTAGGTTTAGAATTGTTGTAAGCGTAAGGTACCATGGTGCCTATAAGCCCTGTAGCTCAGCACTTGTGTCTTATCTTTTTTTTAATTTTTGATTAGAGCTTGATTCCATACTTGGGCTTCCGGTAGCCCAAGTTTTGCAGGTCGACTATCGATATCAGGTATGCGTTGGTAGGAGATCAAACCCCGTACCATGTGGATGGTCGGCTATAGTCCTATCCGATGTGCCACAGACGAGCGAAGTCAAAGTATCTTTTCCAATGAAAGGGGAACTCATGAGTGACCTTGACCCAACATTCAGGAAATACGGTGGTTTCTGCGTAAAAATGACGTCTATTCACAAAAGAAATATGTAGCAGAATGATAAAATACACTAAACGTGATATTATTTCTAGCATGGCTCAAAAATAGCTCCCAATTATAATGAGTATGTCTTTAAGTTAGACCAGTTTCTGTGCATGTATTCACCGAAGTGACTGAAGATGGGTTTTTTTGACCCATTTATTGCTCTTATCATGTTTCTCAGTCTTCCCCAAAAGCCCTAAATTGAATTTCTATGGTTTCTAGTAAGAGGTTCGACGAATACTTATAAGAAAATATGGATAGTAAGACTAATTACAAAAAATAATACCAACTCCAAATCTAACCATAATCGTAACCCTAACGAGCTATTAAAACATTGTCCAAACAGTATTTAATAACGTGATCGGGGTGACGTTTGCACCTTAATTCGTGAATGGCGTTCACATTACAGCTATAATACCGCTAAGTCCCATTATCCAGAGACTAGTATACGTTCAAGGTCATTGGAGTGTTCGCACCCTTGGGACGTGATACTTTAATGTCTCCCTTATTAGGTCTGACATTCAGCATACGTTTCTCATATATGGCTATCAGGACCCATAATCACGAGAATATACAACCTCGTGACACGTAAGGTAACGTACCTATTCATTGTAGTCTTCAGGTATCGTAAATGGTTTTTACCATTAGACTTTTGCGGCCAAAGCGACCACCTTGTGGGGAGTCAAAACACCAATTGGATGGTGTTTCCATAACAGCCGGGACAAGCTGAAGCCAAAAAGAGAAATTATTGAAGGTATCCGTTAATATGGTAGTAACTTTCATATGCTGTATTTGTAAAACATCAAGGTTTTTGTACAAGGCAGAGATGCAGTACTTGGAAAGTATTCATCAGCCTACACATATTAGACGTGATTTGTTACTAATTTTATTCCCAGACGTATGATTGTTGATTAGCATACAATTTATGCCAGTTATAGAATAGACTTCGACCAGTGGCAGGAACTAAATCGCCCACTATCTTGTGGTAGATCCCAGGTGTTCATTCTGTTGTTGGTAATTATTTGAGATTTAACCTTTCCTGTGTTTTTCATTGTAGAGAAATCGTTGAACTCATTTTTTTCCTTCTTTATAGGTGTTATTGTGATAAAAACAAAACTTACTTCCTTTAGAAGCTATCAGAATAACAGAAATGACAATTTTCCTTATTTATCTAGGTTGTTGAGCGTAATGGAAGTCCACAGTGTAGCCGAGGTAGAGTTATAAAATGTGGACAGAAAATCAGACTTATGCATCTGTCAACACGGAGAAACCTCCACAGCCATCATTTTGATTCCCCACTGTCTGCTAATTTCGAAGTTTCAGCATTCGGCAATGATGGAGTCGGAGATGAAGGTCGGTTTACAAATAGTACCTTTTTGTGTTTGGACATACATGTGTCTTATCTAAGTTTTTCTGTACAAGTACTGTTTATGTAAATTTATGTATACAATCTGTAAATGCGTTTTGTCTCTCTAACAAGGTGATGATTGGCAAGTTATTTGCGATGGCAGTTACTGGCGAAGAACGTCAAAAATTCGTTTAAAACATAACTCTACTGATGGGTAAGTTTAAAGGCTGTATTACCTTTTCTAAAATAATGAACTGTATGAAGAATTATTTTTCTGGATATGTGGAAAACACACCTGTCCTATCATGGTTAGAAAAATAAAGTAATTAGGGATTCGATTGATTTCAAGATCAGTTGTATCACAAATGGATATCAGTGATTCCTCATTTCTAATGCTGGTTCGTTATTAAATCTACGTCTTAAGCATAGTAATTACATATACAATGGGATAATGAATAGTTTCGTAACACCTTCATCTCACTAGGCATTTAGATGATTAACTGATGAAGTTAGTATGTAGGACATCACTAATTGGGGTTGAAACAGTAAGGTATGCCATACTGAACGCCTAGGTGTAACTTGTGAATAATATTTAGAAGTTTCCAAACAAAATGATGACATGCACATCTTTGAATATATGGCTCTCATTTCAAAATCTGAAGTTTAATTGCATCACCCACTTGTAATGGGTTTTTGAGGCGTGTTATCAACAGTTTTCAGTCACTAGTTCTTAGCGTCCGCAGGACCCCAGGGAAGAAGTCTACACCTTTGACTCAAACCAACAGTCAAAAGCTTCGTGGATTGATGCCAAGTTTCGACTTGATCGCCTCCAACTCTTCCAACCCAGTCCTATATCAGGTGACATTGCTGAGCAAGAAAGGTGATAGCCCGGCATGCGTAATACGCTTCTCAGCTGTCTATCAATGTAGTTTCACAACTTCATCAATTGAATTCCCCTTCTCACCTAGTAGTATACGCCTAACCGCACTATTTTTTCACCTCGTGCATATTGAGTGAATATCAGCTCATCAAGCCTTTTTGATGTTTAGGTAACGATACTGTTGCCTTTATGGGGTAGGAGGGTAGCCTCACGCCTCACTGTGCGTCGGTGGCACAGTGGTTAGGACTCTCGCCGACCATGCACATGGTCCGGGGTTCGAGCCCGCACCGACGCACATCTGATATCTATGGTCGGCCTGCAAAATTTGGGCTACCGATATCCATGCTGAAAATTCCATACTTGTACCGAAAATACAGTGTGGAATCAAGCTGTAAACCAAAAAAAAAAAAAAACTTTCCCCCTTTTTTGAGCTGACTGACTTGTAAAATAGACGAGGTTTTAGGAGTGCGCCGAAACACTGGAGATACAATACAAGCACCTATAAACAGCTACCCTCTTCATATCTTATCTTTCCAATGGCCATGTCTCACAGACGTAAAGAGGGACGAAGGGAAGTGTTACGCACTACGCATATCCTTCAATCTGTAGTCACCTTATGTGTAAATGCATAGGACCAGTGTCTTTAGTATCTAGTTGCCTGTATTCACCCAACTCAATTGTTTATATGAAACTTCAGAACTTTCAATCTGTGTATTCCACTTGTAATTTAGAAGGATGGAAAGAAAACACCCTAAACTTTGTATTCGTAGAGATTTCGGATAAGAAGATTAAATTGTTTAGGAAGACAAACTTATTTGGAACTGCATATAATTGATTCTGACTAATAAATACAGGAAATGCATTCTATAGATATAGAATATTTCAAACAAATTAAGTATCCCATAAACTCCAATCTTACTTAAATTCACTTCTCTGTGTCAGACAGCTGTAATGTTGATAATGTTAGCGGATATTGGATTAGGTTATAAGAGAGTTAGAAGTGGGCAACTCAAAATTTGGCATCAATCCATGAAATCTTAAATTGTTGGTTTGAAGCATGCATAAAGTTATAAACTTACCAAATCACTAAGTTCGTCGAGACTTTCAGAAATAATTGCATGAGACTTTCGGTGGCAGATAAGGCTCGAAATTATTCTCAATAGCTCAGATGTATTCACTCGTTGTAAACTCTCAGACCTATTAGATTCTTATGTTTCTCCGTGTAATTATTCCTGCTCTCATTCATTTCCACCGCTTTTCAGTACTTGCGAATATTTTTTCTTTTCTCTACCTTTGTCCTCTGTATGGAGTGTGTCAACTTGAAGTGTTGCACTTCTCTACATGGTTCTACGGTGAAGACTTAGTCAGTCAGTCAGAGGGTTGCAGCTTTCTCTCTCTGGCTGAGTACTTTTGATTGAGATGAAAATTAGTTTGGTGGTACCTACTACTTATTTAATTTAAATAAATAATAGTAGCTTTATTCTGCATAGTGTTTATATAATGTACAAGATTCTCAGCATAATTTATTGCATAGTATTTCTTTTCTCCTGGCACCTTCGAGTAAAATAATAATTGGTAGCAGTAGATGCATTGTCGTCTGACCTAAAGCATAAATCAACCCATTATGATAGCTTCCTTTTTTGCCTCCTCCGAGAAATGCACGACATTTGGGATTGAAGCATACCGAAAAAGAGACGCAAGAGTACATTTTGTGACCTAATTATATGACTGAATAATAAAAACAGACCACAGTTCGGGGAATGGTACCCTGTAGTAAAAATACCCGGAATAACCATTTCATGTATTCGGGATACCCAACCACCCCTAACGATAATGCTTCTTCTCAAGTGTTATGGAAACCTATGAATCAGCAAGCTGTGAACATTTTAAACACCTGTAATAGTAAACAATACCACTAGAGGCCATATTTTTTTTATAGATTAAAGCTAGGTGAACACGAGGAATAAGATGGAGTGTTTTGGCAGCCCAAGCTCTCAGCAGTTCGCCGTATATTGATCAAGGAAAACACCCATAAGGACATTAGAAGAAAAGAGAACATGAATTTCAGCAAAGATGTTGATCTTTTCGGCGATTTCATTTTCAGAAGCAGCTGTACAATCGCATTTAAATACATAATTTTTCATAGATATAATTCTTATTCGATTCCACATAATTACGAAGGTGAAAATTATTTCCAACTAGATATGGTTTACAAGAGCCCTAGAAACAAAATTACACGGGATTATAGCGAATTACAGGTGTATAGAAAATGAGCATGGAAAGAAATTGGAATAATAGTTTTACCTTGAAATGGAAGTTAGGAGGGGTCAATATATATTACAAGAGCCTTAAAAACAAAAATCACAGATGGTCAGGATATAATTGTAAAACAGTTATTTTAAACGAATTATAAACGTGAGCAGGAAAAGCATGGAAACAAACTTAAAATAGCTGTTCTTATAACTGAAAAAATGGGGTGAATTGAACGAAGACAGAGGGAGTAAGAATCGCACACACAGCGAACGAAAAAAGAACGAAAGAAAAAAATGGAAGCTAAGGGAACATACCGAACTAGGTTCATGTTAGTTGTAAAGGTTGGACTAATTTCTTTTGAACACACAACTCGAGCCTTTAGATGCATATTGCTAGGGCTTCTGAAGTACAGAGAAGTCGAAGACATACTGCTTTTGGTAGGTTTCTATCGACTTTGTAAATTACTTTAAAAGAATCAATTGAGATGTTTTGGGAGGTGTTGATCAGATCTTTAATAATCGGACTTTTGGTTGAACCGTTGCCTCCTATTTGCAGCCATGCTGTTTAATGTTCTCTAACACGTTTTGAAAGGACGCGCATACAACCACCTATGTACCTAGCTCCACGCGAGCAGGTGAATGTGCACATTGAATCGGTCATATGCAAGAGTTTGTCCTTAGGGTTGTTTTAAAGTATTGGACGGCTAGAGAATGTCACTCTTACTGTCTTCTTAAGAGAGCTGGATATTCTCCTCTTCTGGATATCGGCTGCCAAATCTCCCCTGAAATTCAGATTCAGATATACCGTTTTTTTGGCACTGAATTGCATTCTTCTCTTTTTGGTTTAGGTCTCATATCCTTGTCGACAAAACGTGTTGGGTAATCATTTTGAGCCGGGATATTTTTAAGGAATAGGAGTTCCTCTTCCACGCAATCGCTGCTGCAGATATTTGTAATGCGATGATGAGAGCTCTTTTTCGGCTCAAGGTGTCCAACTAGAGAAAGGCGCTAGTTGACCGTTCCATGTTGGTTTTCTATGGATGGATCTCTTCAGGGTTCCATCATCTCTTATAGTTAATTCCACCTCCATATATGGAATCTTTGAATCGTTTTCTAATTCCATTGTGAATTTAATCGAGGGATGGGAATTATTAAATTCTTGTAAGATACAATTAAAGTCCGAGTTATTATAAATAGTTGGATACTATTTACACTAGCCAGTAGTGCTTGCTTGCTACGTAGCTAGCTGGCTAAACCAAAGTGTTCTAAACACCAGATGGCAGTTACACTCGGTTGTGAGTCGAGTTGATCAATAGTGTGTCCAGTCTTTGACTCAACTCTAAGAGCTGAATCACTGTTCAAACCACCCGAATTCTGGCTAACTACATAGGTGAGGCTTGCTGCCCGACATTGAACCAAGTTCACAATTTTCAACTTACAATGGTTGGAGAAGTGACACTTCGGCACAGTTTCCTCCTTTGAACAGGCTCCATCTATTAGAGAATCTAACGAAATAAGGAAAGGAAGGTGTTGTTGGTTGTGTTTTTTTCTTATATACAAGATAAACTTTAAAATGTGTATACACACGCATACTTCATTACCTACAACATACTTATAGATATTTACGTTTATCTGGTAAACGATATGGTCGACCAATATCAGGACAATATGAAGTATGCGCTACACCGAAATCAAATGATGCAGTTACATGGGTTGCTTCAGAAGGTATCTATATTAATCCAAGTGATTCTGTTAATCATGCTACAACTAGTTCAACAAGTCATGATGAATTGTAAATTATGTATGTTCATCTGTGTGTATAGGAAATATATTTTACTAACTTTGACCCCATGCTTAACCTACCTTTATATTATTTTGCGTTTTTCGTATAACTGAATAAATTTTGCTCTACTTATTTTGTTGTTATTTTCATGATTTACGTACTGCGCAATTCGATTCTTTGTCATCGCCTGCAGTTAGCTACGCGACTGTCCACTGGCTTTCATTTCTTTCCTACACTACTTCTTTCTATGTCATCCTTGGGCGCCCACCCGACGGTCTGGGGTGTAACATCATTTAACCGTCTCCTCAGAGTATGTTCAATCCATCTTCATTTCTTTCCGTATATTCAGTAGGCCATTGGTAGTTGGCTGTTTAACTGCCTATCAGAGTTCCTTATTGACTATCTTTTCTGTTTGGTTATCTCATCTTCATCTGAAGCCTGGCCTTCACTGACTCATCTGGTGACTTGTTTGTTTTTCACCTGTATTTCTTTGGATTTCTGTGAAGTGTGACTTATGTTTGTAGTAATTCTTCACCTGAAGCACACGAATCTGTTTATTTCAACCTCAGCAACTGGGTAGCAGCATCATCAGTCTTCATACAGTAAATATGTGTATGTCTCAGTTCTAAAAATTACATCGTAGGCTTATCTTGATGCTCCCTAGCTGTTGTCATAGAAGTAAGTGAAACAAGGTTTGAAAAGTAAATCACTAATTAAATGAAATTTCTGTATATTAGCTAAATGTATTCCAGATTTCTAATTTATAGAGGTGTTTATCGTAAAATCATACAGAACATTTGGTCGGTGGCTTAGCAGTAGGGCTGTTGCAAACTACCCATGTGGTCCGGGGTTTGATCCCTGGCCGACACACTCCTACACCTCTCTTAGCCAGTAGCAAGGCCAATAAAAAGCAAAAGTTGAGCGTGAGGTTAATAACATCACCCCGTAAAAATAAGCATCACTGCTACAGCTACAGAAACTTCGAAGCCCTATGTTCCACTCAGAAAGTAAAGGAATAAAAAATAGTAATCAAATTTGTTTCTCTTGATTAATAATAATAACAATAATAACAGCTTTATTCCAAACAGTATTTGTAGTACAGGTATGGAATTTTCAGCGTGCATTACAACATATTGCATCTAATTACCTCATAAATTTTATAAGATTTTTAAAACCAAAAAAAATTAATTAATTAAAAAAACCAACGCCGAAGAAAAACAAAAGATAAATAAAAAAACAGCGTAGCGTTTACATTTCAAACAATGCACCACAGGATATGAAGTATAAAATTACTGTGTAATAGATGTGAACAATAATGTTATAGTAACGAAGAAAGGAAAACAAAAACTAATGGGGCTATTTGTTAGAGTGCCGCAGTAAGTCGATCGTGTCATACCTAACGGATTTCTCATCACATAACAGCTGTGCCAGATATGGTATTGTGGAGTTTTTGTATTTGGTAGTCCTAGCATATAGCCGCCTATAGCTGCTTCTAGTTCTACCAGATGAAATGCAAGGAGACAGCTGAGTATAGAGAGGATGCTCGGGGTCTGGCAATATTGTATTCGCTAGTTTCTTACATGACATTATATGTCTATCTACAATAGTGTTAACCAGTTGGTTTAACGATATCCCACTTGCCCTACTAATGGCTTTTAGTGCCCTTCTCAGCAAAGTAAGGTCTTTCTTAAGTAGTCCAGGAAAGATTAATGGGGAGCAGTAAAGGGGGATGGGTAGAATACAAGAATTTACAAACTGAGAAAGCAAAGACTGCTTTATGCCAGATTGCCTAAATTTCCTAATGTACAACGTTAAGCGAAACATCTTTCTAGTAACTAGCAAGATGTGGGAGGACCAGGAAAGATCGGTGGAAAAACTCAGTCCAAGGTCCTTGACATTAGATGTATTTTCAACATCTGTGCCGTCAATGATAGTGGGGCCATGTGAGCTAACTAGTCGCTGTAGGTCACGTTTACGTCTGAAAGTGAAACTGACTACCTGACATTTAGACGGATTAAGCTTAAGACCGTTTGAAGAGGACCACTGACTAATTTCCGACAGAAAGCTATTTAATTTGGAACAATCTGACTGAGAGTTGACAGGCATAGAAACAGAAAGGTCATCGCCATACTTAACAAAAGTGGTTACATCAGAATGAGGCAAGTCATGTAAGAAAAACGAAAACAAAAAGGGAGAAAGAACAGCACCTTGAGGAACACCGGCTAAAGTAAGTGAGGTAGTGGAGGACTTTCCATTGTAGACGGTGTACTGCTTCCTATCAGAAAAATAGGAATGCAACCACTTATTTGTCCAGCTCTCAGCCTGTGCTGCAGCAAGCTTACTTAGCAAGATAGATCTAGGTACAGAGTCAAATGCAGATGTGTAATCAAGGAAGGCACAGCGAACGTATTTAGTTCCTTTATCTAAACTAGAGACTATACTATGATGTAGGACAACAGCGGCATCTAACGTACACCTACTATGTTTATAAGCAACCTGGTTGGGGTCGTTGAAAGGCTTTAAAGAGTGTTCAAGATTAAGTAAAATAAGTCTCCACAACTTTCAAAAAGGTGGGGTAATAGCAATAGGTCTAAACTTAACATTAGGTCCACTTGTTGATTTAGGCACTGGAACGATCTTGATATTTTTCCATGATTCAGGTATAATACTTTTGGAAACCGATTCGTTGAAAATGTCAGTTAATGGGGAACACAAGATGTCAGCACACTTCTTAAGGATAACAGCAGGACAAGGGACTGAGTAGGTTTGAGAGATTGAAGACATCATTCGTGTTAAAGCATGAGAAGCAGTCATTCTTTACACTATTTGAGTTAGGAATCATAACATTTGCTGGGATACATATGAAGGATTCATTAAGCATGTTAACATCTACAAAAATATCATTCATCATTTGCTTACCACCTGTGATTTCCTTTAATAACTTCCACATAGTAGATGGGGATTTACATGAAAGAAACTTCTGGTTATAGAGAGCATTCAATCTTTGTAATTCAAGCTTAATCAAAGTGTTCATTCTCTTAACACCAGATTTGTTTTTCATTTTGAACAACCAGCCCTACAGGACCCAGCATAAAATGGTATATCATCCTTTCTCGTGAATCGTGTGACTTATCTTGTGATGGAGGTACTTTGTAAAGGTATCATTTCTCACGCATATTGTGGTTTAGTGTGTAATCGATTCATCGTCTTTTGTTTCATCTTGGTCTTTGTTGGGTCGCCAAGCTATGAGAATAGCCATATCCAGCCATTAAGAACAATCCATTCCCAGGGTTGTGAACCGACTTTATTATGGTAAAACAAATATATAAGTATGTTTTGTTTCCTAATAAATGTACAATACAGTATCTTACATTCATATGCCAGCCAGTCTTTGTCTTTTGATATCTGTGTGCATCAGTGAATCGAAAGTACAACGTACA